TTTCTCAATAGCAAGGCTATGCTCACTGAGTCTGTACATAGTCAAGGATTTTTTTAAATTTTTGGTCAGTCACAGTGGTCAGGTATTCTGCTACTGTGTACTCTCTGTTTAGGGCCAGATAGCATTCCAATTTGCTCTGTTTCTTTGGTTGATTCTTTCCAGTGTCAAAAAGTTATCTTTCTGCTTTCTCATAATTTGGTTGGGTCCAATTGTGTTGCTTGCCTGGGGCTCTGTTGGGTCCGTTTGTGTTTGTGAACAGAGCCCCAGAACCAGCTGTCTGAGGGGACACTTCTCTAGGTCAATCTCTCTGTAGGTGAGGGCTTTGTGATGGAATGTGTGGGCATCGCTTCCTTTTAGGTGGTTGTAGAATTCAACAGCTCTTTTCTGGATTTTGATAACTAGCGGGTATAGTCCTAATTCTGCTCTGCATGCATTGTTTGGGATTTGCTTTGTACACAAAGTATATTTTTGCAGAATTCTGCATGCAGAGACTCAATTGGTCCCATTTTGTGAATTATTGGTTGGTGAGTGGACCCCAGACCTCACAACCATAGAGGGCAATGGGTTCTATAACTGATTGAAGTATTTTTTGCCAGATTCTAATTGGGATGTCGAGTGTTATGTTCCTTTTGTTGGCATAAAAGGCCTTTCTTGCCTTGTCCATTAGATCGTTCAAAGCCTTGTGGAAGTTACCTGTGTTGTTGATGTTTAAGCCGAGGTATGTATAATTATTTGTGTGCTCTAGGGCAATGATGTCTAGATAGAATTTGTATTTGTTATCCTGGCAACTGGACCTTTTTAGGAACACCATTATTTTTGGTTGGGGACAGAAGCACCAGATCGTCAGCAAACAGTAGAGATTTGATTTACGAGTCAAGTAGGGTGAGGCCGGGTGCTGCAGACTGTTCTAGTGCCCTCGCCAATTCATTGATAGAAATGTTGAAGAGGGTGGGGCTCAAGCTGCGTCCCTGTCTCACCCCGCGGCCCTGAGGAAAGAAATCACTTGTGGTTTTTGTACATTGATTTTATAATGTTGTATGTTTTCCTCCAACACCGCTTTCCATTCATTTGTATAGCAGACCCTCATGCCAAATGGCGTCAAAAGCTTTTTTGAAATCAACAAACCATGAGAAGAATGTGCTTTTGTTTTGTTTGTTTGTCGATAAGGGTGTGCAGGGTGTATACGTGGTCTGTTGTACGGTATTTTGGTAAGAAGCCAATTTGACATGTGCTCAGGACATTGTTTTCACTGAGGAAATGTTGGAGTTTGCTGTTGATGATACTGCAAAGGATTTTTCAGAGACTACTGTTGACACAGATTCCATGATAATTATTGAGGTCGAATTTGTTTCCACATTTGTGGATTGGATTGAGGTGACCAGACCTTGTTTCCAAGTCTTGGGGAAAATCCCAGAGCTGAGGGTAATGTTGAAGAGTTTAAGAATAGCCCATTTGAATTTGTGGTCTGTATATTTTATCATTTTGTTTAGTATACCATCAACACCAAAGGCCTTTTTGGGTTGGAGGATTTGTATTTTGTCCTATAGCTCATCCAATGTAATTGGTGAATCCAATGGCTTCTGGTACTCTTTAATAACCGACTCTAAGTTTTGTAAATTATCATGTGTAGGTTTTTGTTCTTGGTTCTTTGTTATATGGCTGAAAAGGTTGGAGAAGTGGTGTATGCATACATCTCCATTTTGGATAGGAAGCTCTTCTTGCTGTTGTTTGTTTAGTGTGTTTCCAATTTTCCCAGAAGTGATTTGATTCTATAGATTCTTCAATTACATTGAGCTGTTTTCTGACATGGTGTTCCTTCTTTTATCTTAGTGTATTTCTCTATTGTTTTTTTAGTGAAGGCGTAAGCTACGGTTTTATAGGTCTCTGTGGTTTTGGTTGGATAGGTTTCTCAATTACGTTCTAAGTTTTTTTGCATTCTTCGTCAAACCATTTTTCATTGTTCGTTTTCTTAAGTTTTCTGCTTGCATTTAAATTTGCTATGTTAGCTGATAGGTCAAATATACTGTTCATGCTTCCTACTGCTAAGTTTACACCTTCACTATTGAAGGGAAACATTTGTCCAGGAAGTTGTCTAGGAGGGATTGGATTGGTTGTTGGTTTCTACACTACAGGTAGGTGTCCATGCATGATGACAGACACCCATCTCCACCAATGAGAGAAGACTTGAAATAGAAAAGATGGCTGCGTACACATTGTTGGATTACTTCATGGAGCAAAAAAAGTATTTATTTTAATAATGGAGCATTTTCTAAATTCAAACTGACCAGGGACATTTTATTAAGACTCCTCTTTCCACGAATCGAGGACGAAGACAGCATCGCCAAGCTAAGGGTGGTTGAAAATTCTCTGTGCTATCCTAAACAGTACCTATCCTATAACTCCCAGTAATGGATACCAAAAGTATTTGGTTAAATCACATTATACTGTGTAACAATCTGTAGCCAAGAACTGGTGATCAGCAGATGATGGGAGAGGTGGTCATGATGAAATTGGCATTCACAAAGAAACATACAGTAAGAAAAATACAGTGTAGTTCAGGGAATACTTGTACAGCTGTGGGAGGAATGTTGTCATGATCAAACTGCCATTCAGCTCCTCGAGTCATCTTCAGCATAGTGTCCAATCCATCCAGAGGGATACAGTTCTGCTACAATGACACACGCAGGCAAATGAATTCTGTTTCTGTATCTAGAATCCACTCCAGGAAGAAGCCCAGGCACCACACGATATTGCCTATTAAAAAAATATACATTATACTCTATTGTACAGTTTGAACGACAGTTGAACTGTGCCAGCATAACATCGACATTAGGGTAGACTAGTTGATCATGCATACATGTGCAGAGGCACAGAGATTACATTTAGAACAATATCTAGCCCAGGGGTCTCCAACCCTGTTCCTGGAGAGCTACCCTCCTGTAGGTTTTCACTCCAACCCCAGTTGTAACTAACCTGATTCATCTTATCAATGAATTAGAATCAGGTGCGCTGGATTAGGGTTGAAGCGAAAACCTACAGGAGGGTAGCTCTCCAGGAACAGGGTTGGAGAGCCCTGATCTTGCCTAATAGAATGAAATATGGCATAGCCCTCAACCTCTGCACAGTGACTAGACCTATGTACCTAGGTAGGTAGGTAGGTAGACAGTATCTAGCTACAGTCATGTTAAATCAGGCATGCTTAGGTATATATTTCTATAGTAAAACCAGCTTATCAGTTTTAGAGATTTACAACAGTAAATTGTTGTATTATTGTTTCTCGTCACTGTTAGCTAGTAAACGTAGCTAGCTAGCTAGCTGGATAGCCAATAATTGTTTGGAATCCTATCTTGCGTCATGCCGATAATTTTGTGAGACTGAAATGCATCCACAGTCATAATCATAACCAATGTCAACCTTTGTTAATTACGTTACATAGCTAGCTAGTACAATTATTTACAGTTGCTGATGTTACACGTGTTTGCTAACAAGTTACAAACGTGAAGCGTGGGCGCATAAGTTAGCAGGCGCCAGGCTAACTAGCTAGCCAACTCCAGTCACGTGCTAACGTTTGCTAGTAAACCTAGCTCTAGGTGGCTGGTTGTAACATTGTAGCTTGCGGTTTAGTAACCATATCAATGACTAAAAAGAGAAGAGGTTTTACAATCGAGATACAATAGATCTCCAATTGTAAAACCTATATCTTTAGTCATAGATATGGCTACTGGTAGTTGTTTAGCTAACTTAGCTAGCTACCTAGACTAGCTAGCTAACGTTACCTACCTAAGTTAACAAACTTAAAAACATGTATGTTAGCCTGCAATTTGGGTTTCAGTAGATAAACTAAACTTAGCTAGCTAGGTGGCTTGCAGGAAAAATAACTTACTTAGCTAGCCACCGTATTTGTCATCTGCCCTCTTGGTGCTGGCATCGGCTGTAGCTGAACTTCTAGCTAAATCCAACTCTTTGTTTCGAATCCTTTCGCTATATTCCGGTTGAAACATGTATGGTTGAATGTCACCATGTAGCTAATAAAACATCGAAAACATGCTCCATCGTAAAATGTATGTTGATGAGAGGAATCATTTGAAGCCACTGCAGTCTGATCAGTTCTTTCAGTTTTGCCCAAAGGATTGTGTTGTTAGAGTCCACTTCCCTTTTTTTTTTTTTTTAAAGCATGCCTTGGGGTAGGGACGGGGCCAGAACATGAAGCACCACCCAGTTGTAGTCTTTCAGAGAATGGAGAAAAAAATGTGTCAACTTGTATATTTAGCAATGAATCCACTGATAGGAACATCGCTGGAAGACATCCATTGGCTCTATCGAACAAGGACAACCACATCTACACTCACAAAAACATACAGTGTGATAAGTATCACATAGATCGTTCGGGAAATGCCAAAAAAAACACATTTATTTTCAGATCTCACCGTCCCCATCAATACACCAGAAGCCATCACCCTGACCTGCCTTCCTCCTGGGCATTTGTGTGTGAATCACATCTCACCTGTCCTAGATATGCCTCGGACATGATGAAAACAAGCCCAGATTCCCCCCAGAGTGAAATTCCCCTGTTAACACACAGCTGTCTACAGATTCGCGCGCACACGCACACACACACACTGATAGCAATCTCATCATATAAGTGTTTGTTATGACTCCTCCTGGGGTGGACTGCTTGTCCAGTAAACACATATGGAGCCACTGAGGAGGAAAGATTATTCTGATACTCTTCTTTCTCATGGAAATACAGTCTCAATAGTGTCCATGACTGAAGCCCTATTTCTGTTATTACTAGATAGTCTACAGAAATTGAATAATGGAAGTGTTTGCCTCTCAAAATGAAAATCACTGCAATCAGTGGGAAAATGAATGCATGTATGTCCAGTAACCCACGAGAAGCTAAAGGAGGAAAGTTGAGGAAGATAAAAGTTGCTGATTCACTTAAAACTGTAAAATACAGTAAACTATCAGTGTGACCAACTGTTCCTGTTACTAACCCATCTAAACAGACTGTTACTGTTACTAACCCAGCTAAACAGACTGTTACTAACCCAGCTAAACAGACTGTTACTAACCCAGCTAAACAGACTGTTACTAACCCAGCTAAACAGACTGTTACTAACCCAGCTAAACAGACTGTTACTAACCCAGCTAAACAGACTGTTACTAACCCAGCTAAACAGACTGTTACTGTTACTAACCCAGCTAAACAGACTGTTACTAACCCAGCTAAACAGACTGTTACTGTTACTAACCCAGCTAAACAGACTGTTACTAACCCAGCTAAACAGACTGTTACTAACCCAGCTAAACAGACTGTTACTGTACTACCCAGCTAAACAGACTGTTACTAACCCAGCTAAACAGACTGTTACTGTTACTAACCCAGCTAAACAGACTGTTACTGTTACTAACCCAGCTAAACAGCCTGTTACTAACCCATCTAAACAGACTGTTACTAACCCAGCTAAACAGACTGTTACTAACCCAGCTAAACAGACTGTTACTGTTACTAACCCATCTAAACAGACTGTTTACTAACCCGTACTAACCCATCTAAACAGACTGTTACTAAACAGACTGTTACTAACCCAGCTAAACAGACTGTTTATAACCAGCTTAAAAACTTTAAACCCATCTAAACAGACTTTACTAACCCAGCTAAACAGACTGTTACTGTTACTAACCCAGCTAAACAGACTGTTATAACCCAGCTAAACAGAGACTAACCAGCTAAACGATGTTACTAACCCAGCTAAACAGACTGTTACTAACCCAGCTAAACAGACTGTTACTAACCCAGCTAAACAGACTGTTACTGTTACTAACCCAGCTAAACAGTTACTGTTACTAACCCAGCTAAACAGACTGTTACTAAACCCAGCTAAACAGAACTGTTACTAACCCAGCTAAAAAACTTACAACCCAGCTAAAACAGACTGTTACTAACCCAGCTAAACAGACTGTTACCCCGTTACTAACCCCAAGACTTTTTAAAAACAGCAACGTTACTGTTACTAACCCAGCTAAACAGACTGTTACTAACCCAGCTAAACAGACTGTTACTGTTACTAACCCAGCTAAACAGACTGTTACATAACCCAGCTAAACAGACTGTTACTAACCCAGCTAAACAGACTGTTACTAACCCAGCTAAACAGACTGTTACTGTTACTAACCCAGCTAAACAGACTGTTACTAACCCAGCTAAACAGACTGTTACTAACCCAGCTAAACAGACTGTTACTAACCCAGCTAAACAGACTGTTACTGTTACTAACCCAGCTAAACAGACTGTTACTAACCCAGCTAAACAGACTGTTAAACTGCTTACTAACCAGCCTAAACAGATGTTACTGTTACTAACCCCGCTAAACAGGACGTTACTAACCCAGCTAAACAGGACTGGTTACTAACCCAGCTAAACAGACTGTTACTAACCCAGCTAAACAGACTGTTACTAACCCAGCTAAACAGACTGTTACTGTTACTAACCCAGCTAAACAGACTGTTACTAACCCAGCTAAACAGACTGTTACTGTTACTAACCCAGCTAAACAGACTGTTACTGTTAATAACCCAGCTAAACAGACTGTTACTAACCCAGCTAAAACAAAAGACTGTTACTAAACCCAGCTAAACAGACTGTTTATTCCTGTTACTAACCCAAGCAAACAGACTGTACGTCATAACCCAGCTAAAAGACTGACTGTTACTGTTACTAACCCAGCTAAACAGACTGTTACTGTTACTAACCCATCTAAACAGACTGTTAATGTTACTAACCCATCTAAACAGGGGGCGTACTGTTACTAACCCAGCTAAACAGACTGTTACTAACCCAGCTAAACAGACTGTTACTGTTACTAACCCAGCTAAACAGACTGTTACTAACCCAGCTAAACAGACTGTTACTAACCCAGCTAAACAGACTGTTACTAAACCCAGCTAAACAGACTGTTACTGTTACTAACCCAGCTAAACAGACTGTTTACTAACCCTCCTTAAACAACAGACTGTTACTAACCCAGCTAAACAGACTGTTACTAAAAACCCCGCTAAACAGACTGTTTCAACCCAGCTAAACAGACTGTTACTAACCCAGCTAAACAGACTGTTACTGTTACTAACCATAACTAAACAGACTGTTACTGTTACTAACCCAGCTAAACAGACTGTTACTGTTACTAACCCAGCTAAACAGACTGTTACTGTTACAAACCCAGCTAAACAGACTGTTACTGTTACTAACCCAGCTAAACAGACTGTTACTGTACTAACCCAGCTAAACAGACTGTTACTAACCCAGCTAAACAGACTGTTACTAACCCAGCTAAACCCGACTGTTACTAACCAGCTAAACAGACTGTTGTTACTAACCCCCAGCTAAACAGACTGTTACTAACCCAGCTAAACAGACTGTTACTAACCCAGCTAAACAGACTGTTACTAACCCAGCTAAACAGACTGTTACTAACCCAGCTAAACAGACTGTTACTGTTACTAACCCAGCTAAACAGACTGTTACTGTTACTAACCCAGCTAAACAGACTGTTACTAACCCAGCTAAACAGACTGTTACTGTTACTAACCCAGCTAAACAGACTGTTACTGTTACTAACCCAGCTAAACAGACTGTTACTAACCCAGCTAAACAGACTGTTACTGTTACTAACCCAGCTAAACAGACTGTTACTAACCCAGCTAAACAGACTGTTACTGTTACTAACCCAGCTAAACAGACTGTTACTGTTACTAACCCAGCTAAACAGACTGTTACTAACCCAGCTAAACAGACTGTTACTAAACCCAGCTAAACAGACTGTTACTAACCCAGCTAAACAGACTGTTACTAACCCAGCTAAACAGACTGTTACTAACCCAGCTAAACAGACTGTTACTAACCCAGCTAAACAGACTGTTACTAACCCAGCTAAACAGACTGTTACTAACCCAGCTAAACAGACTGTTACTAACCCAGCTAAAAAAGACTGTTACTAACCCAGCTAAACAGACTGTATACCCCCTGTTACTAACCCAGCTAAACAGACTGTTACTAACCCAGCTAAACAGATGTTACTAACCCAGCTAAACAGAGACTGTTACTAACCCAGCTAAACAGACTGTTACTAAACCCAGCTAAACAGACTGTATACTAACCCAGCTAAACAGGAACTGTTACTAACCCAGCTAAAACAGACTGTTACTGTACTAACCCAGCTAAACAGACTGTTACTAACCCAGCTAAACAGACTGTTACTAAACCCATCTAAACAGACTGTTACTAAAACCCCGGGTAAACAGTGTTACTGTTACTAACCCAGCTAAACAGACTGTACTAACCAGCTAAACAGACTGTTACTAACCCAGCTAAACAGACTGTCTTAAACCCAGCTAAACAGACTGTTACTGTTACTAACCCAGCTAAACAGACTGTTACTAACCCACTAAACAGACTGTTACTACCCAGCTAAACAGACGTTACTGTTTAAAACCCTAAACCCACTAAACAGACTGTTACTAACCCAGCTAAACAGACTGTACTACCCAGCTAAACTGACTGTTACTAACCCAGCTAAACAGACTGTACTAACCAGCTAAACAGACTGTTACTAACCCACTAAACGACTTTGTTACTAACCCAGCTAAACAGACTGTTACTAACCCAGCTAAACAGACTGTTTTTAACTAACCCAGCTAAAGACTGTTACTAACCCAGCTAAACAGACTGTTACTTTAAAACCCAGCTAAACAGACTGTTACTACCCGCTAAAAAGACGACTAACCCGAACAGACTGTTACTAACCCAGCTAAACAGATGTTACTAACCCAGCTAAAACAGACTGTTACTAACCCAGCTAAACAGACGTGTAAACCCAGCTAAACAGACTGTTACTAACCAGCTAAACGACTGTTAAACCCAGCTAACAGACTGTTACTGTACTACCAGCTTAAACAGATGGTTTACTAACCCAGCTAAACAGACTGTTACTAACCCAGCTAAACAGACTGTTTACGGTATAACCAACCGCTAAGACACCCTGTTTACGGTTACTAGACCCAGCTAAACACAACTGTTATGTTAACTAACCCAGCCTACCAACTTTTACTGGGGTTACTGAACCCAGCGCACAGAGCTGTTACTAACCCAGCTAACCAGACGGTTACTAACCCAGGCTAAACAGAGCTGTTTTCAACCCAGCTAAACGCAGACTGAGTACTGTTCTCAACAACCCAGCTAAACAACTGTTACTAACGCCAGCTAAACAGAACTGTTACTAACCCCGTTTACTAACCCTCAGCTAACCAAGACGACTTGTTACGACTAACTAGACTAACTTTTTACTAAACTATTCTATAACCCATCATAAACCCAACCGAAACAGAGACCTGTTACTTTTACTTAACTAACTTCCGCCAGCTAAACGCCAAAACCGACTGTTACTGCATGGCTAAACAATGCCTACTTTACTAGGTACTTACTTACTCTAACGCAACGGACAGCTAAACCAAGAACTTTACTAAACCGCTACACAGACTGTTTAACTAACTCTACCCCACTAACCCATACATTACTGACTAAGCTAACTTACCCCATGTTTTACTAACTTACTACTACTGGCCTAATGAACAATTGACTAACCCATACTTGTTACTGCATGATAACCCATGCTCCCCAAAAACCCACTTTTTACTAACTACTTAAAATAGGGGAAGGAAGGGTGGAAAGGAGCGGAACCAGACGACCTCACCCCCTAAACCCGCTAACAGACTGTTACCCTCAACGCCGCCAACTGGAACCCATAGCTAAAACAGACTGGTCTTTCACTATCCTAAACCAACTCTAAACCAACTAACTAACTCCGTACACTGAACGCCATCCCTCTAACCCCAGGGCTACTAACTGGGGAAAAGGAATAGGGGAAACCCAAGCTCAAACAAAGCGAGAGACTGTTTACTAGAGGCTTACGACTATACTCAACAACAAAAAAACTTAACTTTTAAAGTTACTACTACTAACCCCTACTAACTAAACTATTATAACCGGACCACCTACTAACTAACCGCTTATCTATTCCTACACCCATCTACACAGAAGACTAAAACTTTTTCCGAAACTAGCCCACCCTAACTACCCATGCCACAACCCAACTTACTAACCAACCCACCCCTCAACCGAGACCAACAACACCTATACTTTTTTCCACGAACCCATGCTAAAACAGCCTGTTTACTTTTACTTTTACTCTCTTGTAACCCCCCCTGGGTAAATTTCTCTTTACTTTTTCTTTTACTCTCACGCCATCTCCAAAACACTAAAGGGCAAACAGCAGTAACGCATACTTTTACTACTACCCACTCACTAACCGTTTACTACCTACCCCTAGTACTTAACGCTCATACTAAACCGCATCCTTTACTTAACCTAACCCAACTAACTAACAACTTTATCTCACTAACGGCCCCAATAACACCTTACTAACTTTTTACTATTCCTACCCCTTACTCACCCTATTACTTTTCCTTACTCTCCCCCCCTCCTAACTCCCTTACTTACCCCAAGCTAAAAACACCAAAAGAACACCGAAAACCAACACCTTAACCACAACACGTAAACAACTCCTAACCAACCAAAACAACAAATTAAAAATCAATTTTACCTATTCTAGCTAACTGTTACCTTTTATTACTTCCTAATTTTACACTATACTTTTTTACTTGTTACTTTACTAACTATATAACTAACTTTCCTTAACCCCGCTAACAGACCTGTTAATTTCACCCCAACTCCTCCCTGAACGTTCCTCCTATGTTACTTTCCTATAACGGGCCCAGTTAGACCCCAATTATCTTAGACTCACACAACCCCAGATGTTTCTACGCCAACTCCTACACAACAACTCTAACCCAGCTAAACCTTACTAACCCAGCTACGCCCCAGCAATACCCACAACAACAACACAACAAAACAGACAACTGTTACTAAAACCACCCCCCAACAAAAAAACAAAACGACAACAGGGAAAGAAAAAACAACCCAACTGTTACTAACCCCCTATCTTCTATACTAACCCCGGTTACTTACTACCTACCCCCCAAACACACACAAAAACACACACTGTTACTTACTTCCTTTAACCCATCTAAACAGACTTTTACTACACAACGCCAGCGCAAACTAACCCCCATCTACCAGTACGTGTTTACTATTACTACTAACCCTGGTTTTACTTTTAACAACCCAGCTAAACAGACTGTTTACTTGTTACTAACACACTAACCTACTTTTTAACTATCTGTTCTTTTCTCAAAGAACCCAGCTAAACAAGAAACAGACTGTTACTACTTTCTCTATACTACTACTACTTAAACTACTGTTACTCCTATAACGCAGCTACACGCCTAACCCATCCTCCCCAACAACCATACTGTTACTACTTACTATAACCCTGTTCACTACTTTATTTACTACTCTGCTTACTAACTTGTTACTATTCCTGTTACTGTTACTATACTTACTCCCTACACCCATCGAAACTTAACCCACCTACTAAACTGATTACTTTTTCCTTTCAACTGTTACTATTAACTACTTTCCTGGTTACTAAAACTGATTACTAACACCGACTGTTACGCTTACTCCTAACTTAACTACTTGTTTATTACTTTAACTGTTACTGATACTTTACTGTTAATAACACTTACTTACCCTTACTAACTCCATTTACTTACTTATTACTACACCAAAACCACTGTTACTAACCATAACCCAGCTAACCACCAAACAAATACTACCCCGCTAAAACCCACACAACAAACCCAACCCCCACAAACCACAGCTTTTCCCTGACTCCTACGCACTTACTAACCCAGCTAAACAGACGGGTTATTGGTTACTACCCCATGCTAAACAGACTGGTTACTGTTACTAACCCAGCTAAACCAACTGTTACTAACCCAGCTAAACAGACTGTTACTAACCCAGCTTAAACCACTGTTACTGTTACTACCCAGCTAAACGACTGTACAACCCAGCTTAAAAAACACCACTGTTACTAACCCAGCTAAACAGACGTTTACTAACCCAGCTAAAACAGACTGTTACTAACCCAGCTAAACAGACTGTTACTAACCCAGCAAACAACTGTTACTGTTACTAACCCAGCTAAAACAGACTGTTCTGTTATAACCCGCTAAACAACTGTTACTACCCAGCTTAACAGACTGGTTACTGTTTACTAACCAGCTAAATAGACTGTTTTACTTAACCCAGCTAAACAGACTGTGACTCACCCAGCTAAATAACAGACTGTTACTAACTAACCCAGCTAAACACACTGGTACTGTTACTAACCCGCTAAACACCTGTTACTAACCCAGCTAAACCGACTGTACTAACCCAGCTAACATACTGTTACTGTACTAACCCATCTAAACAGACTGTTTCCTAACCCAGCTAAACAGACTGTTACTAACCCATCCTAAACTACTGTTACTAACCCAGCTAAACATA